GGAGTAACAGGCTCTGCGTCTGATCAGCAGCGACAGGAGCAACGGACCCACGGGCGACAGGTGCAACCGGCTCTCTGAGCTACCGGTGGCTATCAGAACCCCGGAATACAGGCGCTGCAGACGACACGACGGCGGCCTCCGCTCAACCTCCCCCAACAGTCCCACACCCCTCGACACACACCCCCTGCTTCGCCCCTAGCTCCACTCCCCTTTCACCCCCCTAGTACCACTCCGTCGGCTCCCCACACACCCACCCCCCTGAGCGGCAGCTGCAGCAGCGGGAGACGGAGGAGGAGGAGGAGGGGACGGGGCACACAACCGGCACCCCCACACCCGCCACCCCCACACTCCCCACCCCCAAACCCTAAAACGGGCGGAACGGGGTAGGAGCGCGGGGGACGGCGAGGGGGAAGGCGCGCGGCCCCCAGGGCGCCACCACGGGGCAGCGAGGGGCCGCGCGCAGCCCCCCAGGGCGCCGCGACGGGGCAGGGGGTGGGTCGCGCACGGCTCCAGGGGCGGCTCGCGGGTCTCCGGGGGGCGACGCGAGGGTCGACAGGGATCACGCGCGGGTCCCGCGGGGCGACGCGACCGTCGACGGGGCAGCGGGGGCTGCGCGCGGGTCCCCCAGGGCGCCGCAACGGACAGGGCGGGGGCGCGCGGGGGTCCTCTACGGTAGGAAACCGCCGCACGCCTCGGGGCGCACGGCGGGCAGAAAACCGCCGCGCGCCCCGAGCGCACGGCAGGAAGTCGGCGTCGCGCGACCAAGGCGCGCGACAAGTAGAACAGCAGCGGAAGCATTAGGTGGTGGGCCCACCCACAGGATCGACCCAAGGGGGTCGACCTGCTCTGATAGCATGTCAAGATAGTTAGGCAAAACGAGAAACAGGAAAGAGGGGTTTGGACTAGCAGCAGTTGAGATACAAATAGCAAACCCTAGATTGGGCTGTACTCGCTATAGAGTACCCCACTGCAGGCTAGACAAATACAACATTCTGACAGATGAGGTGTAAGAAGGTAAATAATTGCCTCTATGTGTAATTGGGCAAATATTGTCTTCTTACACCTCATCGCCTCCCTCAAACCTCTGTCTGGCTCGGCTGTAGCAGAGGTAGCGATGCACGCAGTCTTGAGCCTCATACCCACTCTCGTCCCACAATTTCAAGTGGAGAAAAAGCCGCTTCTCTAACGGCTGATCTCTCTTCATCTATGTCTCTCCAGCTCAGCCTGTACATCCATCAGCGATGTTGTATCATCGAAAGCAATATACTCACCTAAAAAAAAACAAAACGAAGATAGTTAAATTCAGATATCACTCAACCAAAGTTCAACTAATTACGTTAGCAGCGTGTACAATGACAACTGGTGGACATTGCAGTGTGAAACAATTCATGGAGACCAATGGGTAATTGGGAATTGCAGGGGATGATTCCCAACGAATCTCGTTCACCGTTTTTACCAAGAGTCAATTGTCTTGTTGCAGGAGGGCTTGCCACCAACAACAGCGATGATGAAGGCAATGGAGATCGTCGACAGTCTTTCCACAGCTGGCACCACGGTAAGTACCAGAAAATGTTTGTGAATCCCGTGTTCCGTTCACTTGACTTTCTCTTTGTATTTTTTGGTCGCTTCGCTGTCACTCACAGCCTGCTTCACTGCCACTCACAGCCCGCTTCACTACCACTCACCGCAATCCTCACTTGATTTTTCCTTTGTATTGTTGGCATTTGCTTGGTTGTGTTGTTTGTTTGCCGTCCTTGTATTGCTGTTGTCTCGAGCATGCTTGTTTTCCTCTTACCATGTTGGCTTATGCAGGATAGGAATGTGTCAGAGGATCTCCAGGCAGAGGACGGGGAGAAGGAGAGGCGTTTAGAGGAGAGTGAAAGCGGGTGGGGGAGAGGGAGAGGCTTGTGGGGGAGAGGGAGGGGCTTGTGGGGGAGAGGGAGGGGCTTGTGGGGGAGATGGAGAGGCTTGTGGGGGAGAGGGAGGGCCTTGTGGGGGAGGAGGAGAGGCTTGTGGGGGAGAGGGAGAGGCAGGCAAATGAGAGGGAGACTGGTGGAAGAGAGTGAAGGTTATACAGGGGAGATGAAGACGGTGATGAGGCGAGTCAGGAGCAAGTAAAAGGTGGTTTCCGTGGCAGTGTGTTGGTGTGCAATGCAGTGAGAGGCGTGGTTGGAGAGTTAGTTCCCATGATCTTCTTCAGCCCACCCAGTTTAAACTTCCACACATTCGGAGCAGCACTCACCAGGTCCCGCTTCTGCTTGTAGCTGCGACCGTCAATGTTTCCCTGGGATCTCCTGTGTCAACAAGACATCGTGTTTGAGGGCAAGGGGTTAAAAATGACATCTAGGTGTAGAAGAACGGAATCTAAGTCTGTTGAATTCGGCGAACAGATGTTGGTCGAACCCTTTTTCAAGATCCCATGGTTTTGAGTGCTGTTTGTTTGTATGGTTGGGCGTAAGTTGTTGGGCATACACTTGCAGTCTACACTCGTGCCAAACCACAGTTAATGCCACCCCGTGTCTGACCCGTGTCAGGCATGGAGCCTTTATGGCAGGTTGCAGTTGGCGAAGGAACAAGGACCACCAGGCGTACTCTATATTTCAGCCCCGTCTGCACTGCAGCGAAACCTGATCCAGATACTACGGTAAGAAATGAGAGTACGCTACTGAGTGAAAATGGTGAACTTCAGCATGCAAGACTCAATACACAGAAAGGGGCCATGTACTATGAGAGGCACAGGGCCTTATGCTAGAGGGCATATGGCAATATGCGAGAGAGAGGCACAGGTCAAACTGGTAAGCCCACTTGGGTTACTCCATCTATCCGACTATATGGTTGCCTGTTAGAACCCCTTTCAGTGATCAAGCGCAAGCAGGCTCATGTGGGCTGCTCCCATTTTATCCACAGTGATATGGTTGGCTATCATAGTCATTCCCCCCTCCCACGCCAAGCACAACCATGAGGACTCGGCTGCTCTACCAACCCGATCCAATAATCGTTTGCTGTCTCAAGGCCCGTCCGTTGTCAAGCTAACTACGACAGCAAGGAAGCGACTGCCTTCAGGGATGTGATGATGAGGAGACACGAGTGGTAGAGGAGGAAGCAGAGGATGAGGGCTCCAACGGTGTCTTCGTGGGTAGTAAGATAACAGAAAACAGCAGATTATAGCAAAGTGAAAGGCATGGTTAAGGAAAGCTTGGGTACAGTGAAGGTGGACAAGAACCACAAGGACCAGGCTAAATCAAGCGGAATCGATAGGTGGGGAGAGAGAAAAGGACAGGTGGGGAGAGAGAAAAGGACAGGTGGGGAGAGAGAAAAGGACAGGTGGGGGGAGAGAAAAGGACAGGTGGGGAGAGCAAGAATGGGAGGAAAATAGTGCGTAAGTAAAGGGAGGCTGGGAAGGGCAGGATATTCTAGGAATTGGAGTGACCATGAGAAAAGAAAAATTGCAGGTAAAACATGACGCAATGGAAGACAGGGATGCAAAGGCGGGGTAAGGGTTGGAAAGAGGTGTTTGAGTGGGTTTGAGTGGGTTGAAAGGGCTGCTTGGCCGCTGAGAGGATACTGACTAGGAGAACCTCCCACCAATCCAGGATGTAAAGGCCAAAGGTCACATTATACAGGGTGATCTTGCCGTTCACCCATGTGACTAATTGCCTCCAAGTCGACCGCTGCTGATGGTGTCGTCTCTGCGCTTGCACGAATGACATGGAAAATCACAAAGAAACCTGCGAACAGGTTGGTTACCTGGAGGCATAGCATGTTGGTAAGGTAACAAGCCTTTTTCACCAATCATGAAAATGAGGATGGTGAGCGTATGTAAGCCATAAGCCGACATGGTATGTAGTACATGCACTTTAACATTGCAATGACGTACCGCGAGAAATTCCGCGTGGGCCTTGAAAGCGTTTCTGTCCTCCACAGGAATCTCGTCTTCACTAAGCGCACTTGCTAGCCGTTCTTTGCATTCGCCTCCCATTGTTCCTAACTAAGAAGTATTGCGCCGCCAGAGGTAGCTATGCTCGGAGGTATCACGTCGCAAATAGCCGAGGATCGCAACCGTCAGCAGGAAAAGAGATTGCGACGGTCAGGATTCGTCCCACGGAGCAGGGAATCCGCTCTAAGAATCGCGCTCTTGCTGACTCTTTCTTAGCATCGTGATCCGCTGGTCATTGGCGCCACCAGCATGATCGGTTACCAGCTCCACGCTTCAATTCTGCTGAGCAAGACCGCAGCTTGCCCGACCCAGCGAGGTCATTTGCAGTATCGCTGCGGAGAATAACCTGTACAGCTAGAGGAAATTTACAATGACCATCGGCAACCTGCTTCACCGTAGCTAGTCGAGCGTGCTTGGCTGACCGTTCCCGAGCTGTCGTTGTTATCAACTAGTTCGAGAAAAGGAGGAATCTATGCTGACTTGGTGTGTGATTCGTGATGCGAACAACAATGGAGGACAGGACTGACAGCTAAGGGAAAATACGCGTCACAAGAGGCTTCATCATGTACCTTCCATGCGCCCTGACTCGGCTTGGTCCCAACCTTGCGGTGACCATCTCTGACCTAATCTAGGCTTGGCAATTTCCAGACCAGCTGAACTGCCTGGTCGAATTATCGTCCTGAGTGGTTCAGTAGCTTTCGACACGGTAGAAGATCGCTGAAAGCAGTTTACCGTTTTGAAACGCAACGCAACCTTCACAACCACTGCACCACCCACTAGGATGAGGCCCCTAACTCGATATTCGCTTCTGCGAAAGTTTGGTACATACACCCAAAACAATAAAATCCCACTTCTCATTCGCGCTCTACTTCGTGCTGACATCCAGAAGCTCGTGCCATGTAGTCCTGAGAATAGAACCCTCATTCTCAATAGCACAGGCTTGGCACAACGGGCACTAGCAAGGAGAGAAAAAACCAATCAACCCGAACGGCCGGACTGGTGTCGCTTGCGTAGCGTACCGCGCATAAGCTCCGCGTGTCGTCGCGACCCCCGTTCCGTAGCGATGCAGGACGACGCTGACGTAGGCGGCTCCGCAGATGGACAGCCAGAAGCAAAGGCTGGCACATTGTCCCCGTTTGTAGGCCAAATTATGGTGCGTATATCGAGTTACTGTAACCTGGCCTTTCTCTCGTTCAAGGCTCTTTTGTGTCACCCTTCTTGGCCCTTAACCTTTGGCTGTCGCCTGGTTTTCGTCGTGGCATTTGCAATTTTGATCATGGCGTCTAAATTAGGGTTTCCTGCGTAATCCGTGGTGTGTGCTCGCTCGCAGGTGCCGGGAGACGTAGCGGTGGATCTGAAGCAGGTCACGTCGTCCGTGCTCAGAATCGGACCCGGCCTCCGACAGGTGCGCTGATCCCCCCGCTCCCACGTGGGGGCACTAGCTCGCTCCCCCAGCCACGTGCTCCCCCAGCCACGTGCTCGCCCAGCCACGTGCTCCCCACCCACCCACGCACGATCATTCCTAACACAGACTCCTATCTCGTTGTTCCCTTTTTCGGGAGAAGCAAGACGGCGACATGGTGGTGGCCATCCGAGCAGGGCGACTCAAGCCAGTCTTGCACTTTCAACAGCCAGCGTCTCCCCCCGAGCCACCCGCCTACGGACTCATCTACCCACTCAAGCACCCACCCTCCCACCTCCCTTTGGCTCTCATGTACCTTTGACTCTCATCTCCCTCCTGCCTGATACCCAACTCCATGTACCTTTTACAAGCAAGCAAAAACTTAACCTAAGCATCTGTTTGCTAAGAACAGCCGCTGCCACGCTAGCCATGGCTCCTACTTGGGGCTCCATTGGTCTCTCATGTACCTTTGACAGGTTCTCACCTCCCTCCTGCATGATACCCAACTCCATGTCCTCGCCGGGGAGCAGGAGTGCGACATGGTGGTGGTTATGCGAGCAGGGCGACTGAAACTCACAGCTTCCCCTATTCACCCACAGGTGGTGGTGCCACCCACCTATTCACTCACAGCTTCCCCCGTGCCACCCACCTATTCACTCACAGCTTCCCCCGTGCCGCCCACCTATTCACTCACGCACCCATTCACGCGCCCACCCTCCCACCCGTCCTCCCCGCCCTTACATGATACCCATCTCTTCCCCGGCAAGCAGGAAGGCGACATGGTGGTGGCCATGCGAGCGGGGCGGCTGAAGCCCGCAGGGAAGAGGAAGCTGTGGGTGGACTGCAGTGTGAAGCGCGTGAGTGGGATGGCATGTGCATGTGAAAGGTGTGTGGAGGAGTTTGAAGGTTTGCGTATTTGTATGAGGGTATGTGAAGGTGCGTGAGGGAAGAGGAAGCTGTGGGTGGACTGCAGTGTCAAGCGCGTGAGTGGCACATGCGTAGGAATGTGCGCTGTGGCACATGCGTAGGAATGTGCGCTGTGGCACATGCGTAGGAATGTGCGCTGTGGCACATGCGTAGGAATGTGCGCTGTGGCACATGCGTAGGAATGTGCGCTGTGGCACATGCGTAGGAATGTGCGCTGTGGCACATGCGTAGGAATGTGCGCTGTGGCACATGCGTAGGAATGTGCGCTGTGGCACATGCGTAGGAATGTGCGCTGTGGCACATGCGTAGGAATGTGCGCTGTGGCACATGCGTAGGAATGTGCGCTGTGGCACATGCGTAGGAATGTGCGCTGTGGCACAGCATCGCATTCATGCAGTTTTGATCTGCCTCCTTGTCTGCACTGCAAGTCAGCATCTTGTTGATCCCACTTTCCCTCCTTCCTGCCTTCCTACTTTCCCCAACCCCCTTTTCCCTCGCAAGCAACAAATGCAATAAATGCCTCATTTTGTCCCTGCGCTTCACTATGTCATTTTGTCCCTGCGCTTCACTATGTCATTTTGTCCCTGCGCTTCACTATGTCATTTTGTCCCTGCGCTTCACTATGTCATTTTGTCCCTGCGCTTCACTATGTCATTTTGTCCCTGCGCTTCACTATGTCATTTTGTCCCTGCGCTTCACTATGTCATTTTGTCCCTGCGCTTCACTATGTCATTTTGTCCCTGCGCTTCACTATGTCATTTTGTCCCTGCGCTTCACTATGTCATTTTGTCCCTGCGCTTCACTATGTCATTTTGTCCCTGCGCTTCACTATGTCATTTTGTCCCTGCGCTTCACTATGTCATTTTGTCCCTGCGCTTCACTATGTCATTTTGTCCCTGCGCTTCACTATGTCATTTTGTCCCTGCGCTTCACTATGTCATTTTGTCCCTGCGCTTCACTATGTCATTTTGTCCCTGCGCTTCACTATGTCATTTTTTCCCTGCGCTTCACTATGTCATTTTGTCCCTGCGCTTCACTATGTCATTTTGTCCCTGCGCTTCACTATGTCATTTTGTCCCTGCGCTTCACTATGTCATTTTGTCCCTGCGCTTCACTATGTCATTTTGTCCCTGCGCTTCACTATGTCATTTTGTCCCTGCGCTTCACTATGTCATTTTGTCCCTGCGCTTCACTATGTCATTTTGTCCCTGCGCTTCACTATGTCATTTTGTCCCTGCGCTTCACTCTGTCATTTTGTCCCTGCGCTTCACTCTGTCATTTTGTCCCAGCGCTTCACTATGTCATTTTGTCCCTGCGCTTCACTATGTCATTTTGTCCCTGCGCTTCACTATGTCATTTTGTCCCTGCGCTTCACTATGTCATTTTGTCCCTGCGCTTCACTATGTCATTTTGTCCCTGCGCTTCACTATGTCATTTTGTCCCTGCGCTTCACTATGTCATTTTGTCCCTGCGCTTCACTATGTCATTTTGTCCCTGCGCTTCACTATGTCACACTACCCAATGTCCCCTCTCACCATCAGTACACGCCTGCAGTGGAGGAGGCTGTGATCGGCATTGTCATTGATAAACACATGGAGGTATGCTCTCCTGTCACAAACCACACACCACACAGGCATCCCCGCTTGCACATGTTCCCTTGCTCTCCCCCCGGCCCCCTGCTCTCCCCCATGCCCCCTGCTCTCCCCCCTCCCCCATGCTCTCCCCCATGCCCCCTGCTCTCCCCCCTCCCCCATGCTCTCCCCCCTCCCCCTGCTCTCCCCCCTCCCCCCTTCTCTCCCCCCTCAGAACCTAGACGTGGACATCGAGGGCCCCAGCCTTGCCATCCTGCCTGCACCCAAGAGATTCATTCCTCCCCTCTCCCCGTCCACCACCCACTCACAACAATCCCTCTCCCCCACCTCCCCCCTCAGAACCTAGACGTGGACATCGAGGGCCCCGGCCTCGCCATCCTGCCTGCACTCAACACACACACACACACACACACACACACACACACACACACACCCACACACACACACACACACACACAAAACAATCCCCACCCGTACATGTGCCCTCCTCTCCCACATGCCCTCTTCCTCCCCACCTCCCCCCCTCAGAACCTAGACGTGGACATCAAGGGCCCCGGCCTCGCCATCCTGCCTGCACTCGCGTTTGAAGGCGCCACCAGAAGAAACCGACCCAACCTGCAGGTATTGGTGGTATTAGAGTTGCTTTTCATGTGAGCTGTAGTCCTTATTTTTGTGTTGTTGAGATGTTCCTGTTCTTAAAACTGAATTCAGTTGCAAGAGTGGTGCGTTGAATGTATTTGCATGCGTTGCATGTGTATGTATGTCTTGGCGTGCGTGCGTGTGTGTGTGTGTGTGTGTGTGTGTCTGTGTGTGTGTGTGTGTGTGTGTGTGTGTGTGTGTGTGTGTGTGTGTGTGTGTGTGTGTGTGCATGTGTATGTATGTCTTGGCGTGTGTGTGCATGTGTGTGGACGTGTGTTGCATGCAGATCGGGCAGGCAGTGTACACGAGAGTGGTCAAGACCCATAGGGATGCCGACCCTGAGCTCTCATGCGTGGATGGTGAGTGGTGCTGAGTGGTGGTGAGTGGGACCCTGGGTGTTCATATGCATTGGCGGCTGGTGGGAGAAGGGAGGTCCTCTAGTTTCCTGCCGTTTCTGCAACTTGAACCCTGTCCTCCTACTCATCCCCTTTTCCTCCCTTCCCATGTTTTCCCCCCTTTACCTCTTCCGCTTCTCCCTCTCCCCCCCATCCACCTCTCAGCAAGCGGCAAAGCAGCAGAATTCGGGCCACTAGTGGGTGGTCACCTCTTTGACTGCTCCACTGCCCTCGCTCGCCTGTGAGCCCTTCCTGCTATCCATGCATTCGTGCCATCCATCCATGCCAACTATGCCAACCATGTCATCCATGCATTTATGCATCCACTCACCGATGCGTCCATTCCTCCATGCATTCATGCCATCCGAACCAAGCACACATCTCTCCATGCATCCATGCATCATATTCTCGTCGTTCCCAATGGTTCTCGTTCGTGTTTTGTGTTTTGTGTGTTTGGTTTTCTTCTTCTTCTTCTTCGGCTTAGCCTCTTGGCAACACCAACTGCCCCTGTGTTGAAGGCACTTGACGCTGCTGGTTTGGCCTTCGAAATTGCCGTGGGTCTCAATGGAAGAGTCTGGGTGAGTCGAGTGTCGTGTTGTTGCAAACTTTTGTTTTAATTGGGATGAGCAGGGATGCAGCGGTTTGTTCTGATTGATTGTTTTGTGCTGTGCTGTGTGATTTTCAGGTGAAGGGGGACACAATAAAGAACACCATTCTTGTTGCAAATGCAGCTCAAAACTCTGAGTTTCTTTCTGCTGTGCAGCAGCGAGCGATGGTGAAGGAATTAGTCAGGCTGTCGCTATGACCATAACAACGCTTTTGGTGTTTTGCAGTGCTGTAAAATATATCTGGTGCATAAGATCACACCAAAATCGAGTGTACTACTACACGGGTTTCTTTCAGAAGCTCCGCTCTCAGATTGCGCAGACCACCTTCCACACCGCCAGTCCTAGGGAACTCCACTCCCCTGAAGCTGTCCCTCTAGACTGAGATAACTGCAAGAGGGTCTAGTCTGGTCTGGGGATGTCACTTCGGAATACGGTGAAGTACGATGCTGTAAGATACAAACCGATTCGTCTGCTTCACCGAAGCGAACCGTTGCCAACCTGTCGACATGCTGCTAAGCCAGGAGTTTACAGTATGTAGAAGAGTCTTTTTGGTCCATGTTCGCGGAGGAGGGTCCATCCGTTGGTCAACACAACTGTCAGATCGGACGGCCCTTCGCTTTCTTGAAGGACCGTAGTCCTCGCTGATGCAAGTTTTGTGTTCTGGAGTGTCAGGAATGCGATTTATGGAGGAAAGGTTAAGAAGCTATGCGGAGCAGGAGCAGAAAAGAATCAGGCTGCTGCCTCAGGGATGGAGGATGCGCCGTGATGTCTGCCAGTTTCAGGGTTTTTTCTTAAGCTGAATATTGTTCGTGCCGTGGTCTCAAGGCTTTTCAGTTTGTTTCCTAACGTCGCCTGACTGGTAATCTCGTGGAAGCAGATTGGTTCAACTTCGATCCAATTCTGAAGCGTTCCAGTGGTTTACAAGGGGGACCGGAGCAAGAGCGTATCGTAAACGTTTCTACATCGTACGTGTCAAAAAAAAGAGCGTGACGCGAATCATACTCCAGACGGTCATGGCGACGGCGGCAGCGGCTGGATCTGCGTCACCAGCATCATTACCATCAGCATCACTGGCGTCTTCCTCACCTTCACTTTCCACCGCATCAACTTCCGCATTGCCTTCTTCATCTACACCGTCATCCTCGTTACCAGCAGCATCGATATCCTCTACGGAATCGGACGGTCAAGAGCAGTCAGCTCCAGACTCGTGGGAGTCGGACGATCTGGACGAGCGATTGAAGCAACTGCAGATAGTCAAGCCCGTGACTGTAACGAACGGCGCTACTGGCGAGAACAACAGCTCCATTGACAGCTTCAATGGCACCGGCGACGAGCAGCAACCAGCGAGGGAGAGCAACCTTTTGTCGAGCCAGCAACCCGGGCTTGCGACGACGAATCAATCGGCGGGTCAGCCGCAAGTGATCGACAAGCGCTTGGAGCTCGTCGACAGCTTTCTCAGGGAGGCTCTTTCGAACCCTCGCGACCGACTCACGAGTACGTTCGCCGTGACATTTGGCACTTCTTCTATAGAACCTTGTTGCCTTCTAGATATATGCGTCTGCAATTTTTGTTCTCTTGTCAAACGTTTGTTCGCTTCTGCCATTAGTGCTCTTTTTTCAGTGCCATGGAGATACGTGAAACGGTTGATTCGCATCCCCAACGTCAATGTCTGACGCCAGAAAACCTCTTTCAAAGCGCCCAGATATCCTCCTTCCTCGTCCTCCAATGGTCAACGACTTGATTTCTCCACCTCGCGTCTTTCCCCCCTTCCCCTTCCCCTACCCGCCCCCACCCCCTCCTCCAAACCCCCTAATCCCCCCGGCGCCAGTTCTCCGCATGGAGCAGGACGTGGAGAGGTTCATCCGCAACCCCAGCCTCAAGGTCGCCAAGATTATACAAAGGCTCTACTTCTCCCCATCGCTTCTTTCCCCCACCCCTCGACACCCCCCCACATCCTTCCCCCTCTCCCCTCCCTCCCCTCCCCCTTTCCTCCCTCCCCCTCCGCGCCAGTTCTCCGCATGGAGCAGGACGTGGAGCGGTTTATCCGGAACCCGAGCCTCAAGGTCATGGAGTTCCAGCCAATGGCGTCGTCGTACCACCGCGCCGCCGCGCATCGCGTCGCGCAGCATTACTCGCTACAGACGTCCGCCGCTGAAACCGTCACGCCAAGCGGTGGCGAATGCACCGTCGTCGTCGCGCGAAAGATTGGCGAGCTTCGCCCGCCCCCCGTTCGCCTCGTCGACCTCCCTCTCGGCCCGACCAGCGGCAGCGGTAGCGGCGGCGCTGCCGGCGCCGGCGCCGTGAATGGCGGCGGGGCGGACGCGGAAGCTGCGCCAGGCCCCGGGGGGTTTAAGCTGGCAATAAGGCGGAGGCCGAGCGGGGGAAGAGGAGGGGCTGCGGGGGATGGCGCTGAAGGGGGAATGGGCGGAAGTTCCGCGGACGGGCAGGCGGATGGCGCGGGAGTGATCCGATCCGTGGAGGAGCGGAAGGAGATGTATAACCGGGCACGAGCAAGAATTTTCAATACTGCTCAAGTGGATGCTGTGGACAGCGAGGAGAGCACGGGCAGCGCGGAGGGGGCAGGCGGAAAGGGCGAAGCGGGGGGGAAGCAGGAGAAAGAAGGGAAGGCAGGGGGGAAGGCAGGTGTGGAGGCAGGCGGAAAGACAGTGGCGAAGGCAGGCACGGAGGCAGGGGGGAAGGGAAGCGGGAAGGGAAAGGGCGGTGGTGGGGGAAGTGACGGGGAGGAAAAGGCTGGCGCGGATAACCAAGGATTAACCAAGAGCTCGTCAGGCGGGCGGAAAGGGAGGAGCGTGGCGATTCTGCGAGACAGGGAGAAGGAGAAGCAGGACCCGGACTACCAGCGCGGTTATGATCGGTTCTCACAAAGGTTTGACCCAGGGTTTGGCGCCCAGGCGCCTAATCCGTACGGCATGCAGCCCATATACGCCCCTGTCGTTACCTATGCTTCTGAGTTCCCCTCGCTCTCGCCCTCTGCGCCCGCGAATAATGCTGCTGCTGGCAACCGAACCGGGCGTGGAGGCCCGGGTGGGTCGGGACCTGCCAGACCTGGCGGTCCGGCGCCAGGTTCGGCACCAAACGTGTCTGTCCACGGCCCGGGGCAATCCCCAGGCTCGGTAGGCGCTGGTTCGGCAGGGTTGATCCAGCCAGGGTTTCCAGGGGCAGGGTTTCCACCGGGCAGTTTTCCCCCGGGCAATTTACCCCCTGGCAGTATGCCCCCGGGTGGTTTACCCATGCATTTCCAGCAGATCCCTACGCTTGGCCCTCCCCATCCGCTGAACGTGTGGCGAGCACATGCAGGAATGATGGCCATGCAGGGCCGGGGGGTCATGCCAATGCCCGGACCTGTTCCGGGGCCTGTTTCCGGACCTCTTCCAGGAGCTGTTCCCGGAGCTGCTCCTGGTCCGGTTCCATACGGACTGGTCCAACCTCCCAGTTCGATGCCAGGTTCAGTTGGCTCTCCTGGAGGGGTAGGCATGGGAATGGCGGGTTCGGCAGCAGCAGCAGCAGCGGGAACTGGAGCTTCAGTGGGAGGTCCGGGATTGGTTGGGGCAGGAAGGGGGGTAGGCCATGGCTTTCCACCGAACCTTCAGAGGGATGGCATCATGGGTCCAGGAGCAATTTCCGTTCCCGGTGTTGGTGGTTCGGTAAGACCAGGTCCGGGAGCAGGCTCGGGTCCAGCTTTTTCGCCAGGCATGGTGCCAGGCCCTAACCCAGGCATGGTTGTGAACCGAGGTATGGTTGTGCCGGGAGGAATGGGGTATGGGTATGGGGGAGGGAACGTGGTAAGGCCAGCAGGTTCGGTAGCAGGGCCGGGATTTGGAATGGGGCAAATAGGGGGCCCGATTGGGGGTGGGGGGATGCCGTATGCGGTGGGTGGTGTGGGGGTGAACGGGGGAGGGATGGGAGTAGCTGTGAAGGAAATGACTGGAGTACAAGCAGGTGCAGGTGGTGGTAATGCGGCTGGGAGTGGTGGGGTGGGAGGGGGTGCGGTTGGTGGGGGGGGTGTGCTTGGAGGGGGGCGACGAGAGGTGGTTGGGCCTGGTGTTCAACCGTCTCCTCCAATCACTTCTCCCTACATGCAACAACATCAACAGCAGTAGCAGCAGCAGCAGCAGCAGCAGTTTCAACAGCAGCAGCAGCAGCAGCAGCAGTTTATGCACCAGCAACAAATGCATCAGCAGCAGCTGCACCAACAGCAATTGCACCAGCAGCAGCAATGGAGGCAGCAGCAGCAGCAGCGCTAATGGCATTCTCAAAAAGGTGCCAACTGGAGTACTTCATCTTCAGGGATCAGGCTTTGTTTAAGGACCCCTTTTTGTTGTGTTGATTATTTTTCAAGCCTGAGATCACACAAAGAAGAGAACTGTGTTATTTGCCTTTTTGACTCAACATGGCGCTGAAACGTGAGGACGTGGCATCTGCTGGAACAATGCTGGAAATAATAGCGAATAGCAGGCAGGCGCGGCCGAAGTACAGCCTAGCAAGCGACCGTTCCACGTCGACATCGTTTGAGTGTTCGCGAGTTTCGACCAGCCCAAATAGCTCGCCCTCTTTTCGCACTCCATGGGCTGGCCCTCGCATCATGGACATCTTCCACGATGATTATCACCCTTGTAACCGTGTTCGCATTCATCCTTCCATTATCCAGCACAACAGAATTGTGGTTAGCAGCCCACACTGTCCACTGTTACGAGGTTTGTCGATGAACCCCAAAGCGGTTGGGTACGATTTTGTGCGCTTATAATTGCTATCCACCTACTAGAACATAACACGTACAGAAACTGCAAGCGAACTACCCGAGTCCCGACATCCTCCCCATCGACATGCACGCGGCCTAGTGCATAATCTCGTCGCCCTTCCATCGGTCTTTATTTCCGCAACAGTTTTCTCACTTTCTCATAAAGTATGTACGAGGCCCTAACAAGCGGCGCGTATTAACTCTGTACATACATACGAGAGGCAGCGGCATTGGTTCAGATACGAAGCGCAATTTGAGGCACCGTACCTCGCCAGCCACTGACGAAAAGCAACTAATGTGCGCAACCGCTTCCAGCCATTTTGCCGACCAACTAAGCGTTACCATACGAAGCGCGCCCTAGTAGGAAGGGAGTCGGCTTGTGGGAGTCCAAGGGAGAGCTTTCAAATACTTTTTGGGCGCAGTAGGCCGGCGAGCCGCGTTCGTTGGCCAGCTGGCAAAAAGGGAAACCGGCTCCAGCATTCGCAAACACGGCCGCATTTCGCGATTTTTACGCTGAGAGGAGTAGTATCTTCAAATAGTGTGAAGTTTTTGAAGCAGCATTCTGCATCTTAATCTCGCAGGGAATAGCACGCGTCGCGAGGATGAACGGCGGGGGCAACGAGATTCCCGCGAACATCCTCTTCGGCCGCGTGGGAAGCGACGAGGATTTTGCGGGGCCGCCCATTCCCACCGGCACCGCCCCCGCGACTGGCGCCGCAACAGACGCCGCGAGTTACGGAGGCTTACCGAAGCGGCAAGAGGTGCTGCTGCCGGAACAAGCGGCGCTGATTCGCGAGTCGTACGCGCGCATCGAGAAGGACCGGAAGCAGCACGCACTCATCATGTACCTCACGTGAGTGACTCGCGTTGACTCTCGTTGATTCGTGTGATTCATGCTGCCTTGCATTTCTGACTCGCGTTGACTCGCATTGTCTCACCCTGACTGGACCAACTCCTGACAATTTCTCCCTCCCCGCCCTTCCCGCCCCTACTTCCGCCCAATTGTTGACCGCCACGTCAGCATATTCGACATCTGCCCCGAGGCCAAGCCGCTCTTCTCCATGGTGCGTGAATCGAGCGAACCCGCACCCGTCAACCCGCGCCTCGAGGCCCACGCCACGCTCGCATTCACCATGGTGAGACGGATGGGATGGTGGGGAAGGAAGGTCGGATCGGGGTGTGGGGTATGTTGGGGGGTGGGTGAAGAATGTTGGTAGAGCCTCAACCAAGAGGCCTCAACCAAGAGGCCTCAACCAAGAGGCCTCAACCAAGAGGCCTCAACCACTCATACACATGGGACCGCAGAGAACGGAGAAGCGAGGAGGGGAGTGGGCAAGCCAGCTTTGAGCTCTCACCGTTGCATAATTCCATAACCACATGACCCACATCAATCCCATATCCCAATGCCCTTGCACACTTCCCCCCTTCTCAGATGTGCGATGCCTTCAGCAACTGGGACGACCCAGAGCGAGTGGCCGAGCAAACGCCCTCATTCACCCATGCCCCCTCATTCCCCTGTTTCCCCTGCTTCTGACATCTCATGCCATGCCCCTTCATCCTCTGCAGATGTGCGAGGCCTTCAGCAACTGGGACGACCCAGAGCGAGTGGCCAAGCAAACGCCATTCTTCAAGGCCTTGGGTGGGAGACACCTCAACTATGGCATTGATGGGGACGACTTTCCGGTGCGTGGGTGGGTGTGAGTGGGTGTGAGTGGGTGTGAGTGGGTGTGCGTGGGTGTGAGTGGGTGGGTGTGAGTGGGTGGGTGTGAGTGGGTGTGGGTGGGTGTGACTGGGTGTGAGTGGGTGTGGGTGGGTGAGTGTTGAGTGGGGTGGGTGGGTGGGTGTGGGTGGGTGTGACTGGGTGTGAGTGGGTGTGGGTGGGTGTGAGTGGGGTGTGAGTGGCGACGGTAGGAGCACACAAGCAAACGCCCTCCTTCAGGGCGCTGGGATGCAGGCACCTCAACTATGGCATTGATGGGGACGACTTTCCGGTGCGTGAGGATTGATGGTGCATGGTAAGTCGTCCCCACACCTCCCCACACCCCCCCACACCCCTTCAAGGTAACAGCACATACAAGGCAACGCCCTTCTTCAAGGCTCAACTGCTCTCTCTCTCATCTATCTCCCCCACACCCCCCCACACCCCTTCCTTTTACACATCTTCCGCACTGGCTTCATGAAGGCGTTAAGGAGCGCGTTCAGGGAGGAGTGGTTCGGAGACTTGGAGGCAGCATGGTGAGCCGCGTTTGACATGCTCCCAAAGGTTCTGCCCTGCCCTCTCCTTCTCTCTCCCTTGCTGACTCCCACACTCCACCCCCCCTGCAGATCTTCCGCACTGGCTTCATGAAGGCGTTACAGAGGGCGTTCGGGGAGGAGTGGTTTGGAGACTTGGAGGCCGCGTGGTGTGCCGCATTTGACATTCTAGAGGACATGGCTTCGAGCGGCATGGCTGAGAAGGGCGGGCAGAAAGTTATCCCGCCTGCTGCTCTGGAGATGCTAGAGAGGATGCAGCAGCAGTAGGTGTAGTGTAGTTGGTGTGGAACTGTAGCAGTGCCACAGAAACCAGCGTAGCATATGGGACCTGGAGGGCAGATGGCGTGGTGTGCAGCGTCAGATATGGTGGAGGACATGGCTTCCAGCGGCATGGCTGAGAAGGGAGGACAGAAGGTGGTCCCGCCTGCTGCTCTTGAGATGCTAGAGAGGATGCAGCAGCAGTAGGTGTAGCTGTACCAATGGAAGGGAGCCTAAGAGAACTCAATCTCCCGAATGAATGACCCCATGAAAAAGTTCCCGGGTCCTCAGACCGAAGCATCGTCATGCCAGGAGGGTTGAATGAACGGTTTCGAGGCTCAGCTTCACCTTGCCATGCAAGAACACTACCAGTATGCAAAACATATCATATTCTAAGAAATAATCACCTACACACACGTTCAACTGTCAGAATGAGGAATGAATGATGCATTGATGTTGGTTGGGGTACATATAGCTAACCCTAAGTTTTGTACCCCCTAAGACAAACCTCACTATAGGCTACAACATTTGACACACCCCCATAGCCTAAGTGAGGGGTGTCTAGCAAAACCAAACGAGTACGGTCACAAGACCAGTCCAAGAAACAAAGCTCAGGGTGGATCACAACGTCACCACACAGTCTGAGCACAAACAACAGTGGCCACAAGGCCAGTCCAAGAAGTAACAGAGGTATATAGAAAGCAAAGTAAACAGTACACTCAAGTCTAAGCAACACGAGAACCAGTGTCAACAAGGCCTAACTGCACACAGCACCTCTGGTGGTCACAAGGCGGAAGCGCCTTGGTGAAGATGTCTGCAGTGTTGGCCTCGGACTCCACAAACTCAAAGCGAGCCTGTCCACGCCTCTGCAACTCTCGCAGAAGAAAGTACCTGACGTGAATGTGCTTCACTCTGCTCTCCAGTCGTGGCTCTCGACAAAGGAGAATAGACGCCTTGTTGTCAGTGAACAAGGTCGGTGCAGAGCTCGGCCGCTCACCAAGGTCGGTGAGCAAGAAGGTCAACCAACGCAGCTCCTGTGCCGCCATGGCACCAGCGTAGATCTCAGCCTCAGCTGTAGAGGTCGAGACCGAAGAGGAGCGCGTGGACCGCCAGGAAACAGCTCCAGAACCCAGGCTGAAACAGTACCCCTGAGTAGACCTGTGAGTCTCAGCGTCGTCAGCGTAAGAGGAGTCACAGTGACCAGTAAGTACGACAGACTGCTGCCCTCCAAGAACTAGCCCCACGCCTGACGTCGTCGCTAGGTACTTCGCCACCCTCACAGCTGCTGTCCAGTGAACAGGACGGTGTCTCCCTGGCGCAACAAAGCGCGCAAGAACGCTGAGAGGGAAGGCGAGGTCCGGGCGAGTACAAGTCATCAGGTACATGAGGCAACCCACAAGCTCTGCGTAGGGACCACTAGGCTCGAACGGCTCGTCAGGAAAGGGTCCAGTGAGTCTGTGGTCAACAGCAAGAGGTGTGCGCTGTACTGTGGAGTGCTGAAGCCCGAACCGCTGAAGGACCTGCTGCACCATGTGCGACTGTGAAAGTGTAATGGTGCGAGCAGCTCTGTCCCTGGTGATCTGCAGGCCAAGGTAGTGGCGCAGCTCACCAAGATCAGTGCAGGTGTGTCTCTTCTGCAGTTCGGACTTCACGTGTGCCAAAGCAACCCTGTCAGGGGTGGCGAAAACAAGGTCGTCAACGTAGACCAGAACAAAGAAAGGTGTGGGGCCACGACGAACGAACAGCGACGGGTCAGCAGAAGACGGCTGGAACCCAAGGTCAGACAGGGTAGAACGCAGGGTGTCGTGCCACTCACGAGGAGCCTGACGAAGACCGTAAACCGGTCGCCTCAGCCTCCACTGGGTCCCAGGAGGGAAAGAGCCAGTGAAGGCAGAGGGACGACGCAACCAGACCTCCTCGTGAAGACTGCCCTGAAGGAAAGCAGTAGAGAAGTCGAGAGAGTGTAACTCGTAGTCTCTCTGTGCTGCTACGTGTAGTAACACCCGAAGAGTGGTCATCTTCGGGGTGGGCGCGAAGGTCTGAAAGAAGTCAACTCCCTCGCGCTGACTGAAACCTCTAGCCACGTAGCGCGCCTTGAAGACCGGAGGAGATCCCGGTGGCCGCTTCACCCTGTAGATCCACATGCCGTCGACTACGTTCGCCCCCGGAGGGGGAACCTCATCGACGTAGGTGCCTGTGGATCTGTAGGAGGCCATCTCTGCGTCCATGGCAGCTCTCCACTGAGAGGCCCAAGGCCCTGACACTGCCTCAGCGTAAGTGCGAGGAGTCGGAATGTCAAGGGCGTCGGGGTCACCCTCAGGGGCGAGGAGCATGGCACAGAGATGAGGGGAAGCGGCCGCCAGGAACTCTAGCTCAAACTGCCTGTCCTCTAGGGCGTCACAGCCAAGGGCAGACACACCCCCGACGGCCAGAGGACTGGAAGGAGGAGCAGCCACAAGAGCGGTGGCGAAGTCAAGGCGGCGGGTAGAGGCAAACTCAGTGACTGCGGCAGTAAGAGCGGACACAGAGGACACAGAGGACACAGAGGCACGAGGGTGGGTAACAAGAGAGGCGAGAACACGAGAGAGAACAGGACGGTACGTGCGGTAGTAGTCAGTGACAGGAGAAGGAAGCGACACAGTGAGGGCCGACTCAGGAGGAGACGGAAGCACAGACGGAGACGGACGAGGTGGACGAGAACAAAGGAAGGCTGTACGAAGGTCAGTGAAGGGAACAGGAGACGAGGGACGAGCACGAGGGGAGCGACGAGAGGCCCAAGTCTGAGAAGGAGGAGGAGACAACGAAGACTGAGAACGAGGGAAAACAGCGGGAGAGGGGTCAGGAGGAGGAAGCGGAGGACCAGAGACGGGAGGAGAGGGGGAGGAGGAAGGAGAGGGAGACGGGAGACCAAGGGTCCGAAGACCCGAGACAGGAGGAGGAGACGGCAGCTGCTGCTGCTGCGGCTGCTGCGGCTGCTGCTGCTCCAGCGGCTGCTGCCCCTGCTGCTGCTCCTGCTGCTGTCGCTCCTGCTCCTCGAGCCGCTGCAACTCTCTCTCCTCTCTCTCCAACTCCAGCTGCTCCTCACGAGCACGGCGAACACGAGCCTGGAACCTGGTCGGGTAGGGGTGGGGGGAAGGAGTAGTGTCCGGGGCAGCGGCAGCCCCAGAGTCGACCTCCGAAGCACCAAGTACACCACCCCCAGAGGCAGCACCAACACCAGCTCCAGACCCAGGCTCTCTAGAAACCGAAGGGACACCCTCACCCCCAGACGCAGCACCCCCAGACTCCGCACCAGCACCCCCAGACTCCGCACGACCAGTACCAGCCCCCGGAAGACAAGAGTCCTCTGCAACCCGCGGCTCAGCTCCAACTCCAGCACCCCCAGAACCAGAGACCTGTACAGGGACAGTCGCAGGACCAACCTCCCGAGAGGGAGAACCTGCAGGAGGCGGCAAGGAAGACTGTGGGGAGGGAGGCTGTACAGGGGGGGCTACCGAAGGGGGAGGGCTAGCCTGAGACACACCAGACGGGGCTGGACCAGGGGGGGAGGCTGTACCGGGGGAGCAGGCGGGGGAGCGGCGGTCAGGAAGAGAGGGGGGGGAGGGACCGGGAGACCTCGACTGGGGTACCTGACGTAGTAGGGGGTGGACTCCTCGAAACGGACGTCACGGGAGTCAAAGAACCGGTGAGAGGGAGGGTGGTAAAAGGTGAAGTCAGAGGAGTCCTCAGGGAAACCAAGGAAGACACAAGGAACGGCGCGAGGCGAGAGCTTGTCCGCGGAGGTGTCGCGGACAAGAGCCAAGCACCCCCAGACACGAAACCTCGACGCGACACCAGGGGACCCTGTCCAAAGACTGGTCGGTGAAGCCTCCGGCCGAGAGACGCGTGGCCAGAGGTTCAGCTGGTGCGCGGCGTACCTGACCGCGTATGGCCACAGGAAATGGGGGGCACGGGCGTGAGTCAAGGAGGTGCGGGCAATCTCCATGACCAGGCCTATGCGACGCTCAGCAACCCCATTCTGCTGTGGGGACTCCGGAAGCGTCCAGGACTGACGAATGCCCTGTTCGCGACAGAATCCAGCGAGAATGCCGGAGCGAAACTCGCCCCCGCGGTCGGAGTGGAGACAGCTGACACGACGACCACGAGTGTCCTGGGTGGTAAGCAACCACCTGATCAGCGTAGAAGTCACCTCAGACTTCTTCGCCAGGGGGAACACTGTGGTGTAGCGGGAGTAGTCGTCAACGACCACCAAAAAGAAACGCTCACGCTCAGGGCCAGGGCGAGGAGAGGGGCCCCAGACGTCCAAGTGCAGCGTCTCAAAAGGCTCGGTGGCCGGACGAAGGGAGGAGGAGTGAGGGGTGGCGCGCAGCCTACCCTCGACGCAAGGACCGCACGGTGGTGCAAGGGACGGCGGCAGCGACGGCAAGACACGCGGGAGACCTAAGACAAGACGCTGACGAGACATAGCGCGAAGACGAGGAGGAGAAGGGTGCCCCAGCCGGTGGTGCCACAAAACGGTGGGGTGGGCAAGCGACCGACAGGAGCACGACGCAGCGACCGGACTAGACGGAGGAACCTGACAAGACACAGCTACCTGGGGGGACGGAGCAACCTGGTGAGACGCGAGGACTCGAACGGGAGGCAAAACAGGGGCCGGGGGCAGGAGGGGCGGCTGTGGCTGCGGCTGCGGCTGCTGCCGCTGCTGCGGCTGCTGCTGCTGCTGCAGTCGCTGCTGAGCGCGCGGGCGAGTGTGAAGAGTGTAGAGACCGGAGCCCGGCTCAGCAGCAAAAGTGGCGAGGGGCTGGTAAGAGTCCCCGTCAACACACACCGCAGTCTCTCCAGAAGGCTCAAACCACACACCCACGTGCTGACTCACGAGGGGTCGCACGCCCACCAAGTTCCGGGAGAACGAGGGGACGTGAAACCCAGTGAGAGACCCAGAAGGAGCAGCCGGACACGGCAAGGTGGTAGTGTGACGCGCGGTGACTGGTCCCGAAGTGGGATCAGCC